ACTTGTCAGGGCGAGGTTAGCATGGATCTCCGGCTCTCTGTCAGTATAGTCCCGGGAACACCAGGAGTTTAAGGCAGCTAACAGCAGGGTGCAAATGGCAGAAGGGAGGGAAAGAGGAGGGAGACTGCAGAGGAGAAGAACTCTCTGGTCTAGAGAAACCCACAGAGAGCAGGTCGGGTGAGGGAAGCCCTGAGTTAAAAGTACTTCGGTGGAGCCTAAGCGGGGCAGAAGAGCAGTTCAGCAAAGAGAAGCCAGATGCTTGAGAACAAAAGGATACAAGCTGAGGGAACACAGCACAAGGGGCCAGGATTAGAGTAAGAGGTAGCCCAGGGAAAGAGCAGCATGTCTGAGGAAGCAGACCTAGTTGCTTAATACAGGGGTCCTATGCTGGAACCCAGAGTAGAGGGGGGGGCCTGGGTTCCCTACCAGCCCCTGAGGAAAGGACATGCAAGTCCAATGGAAAGAATATCAACCTCAGGGTGGGGCTGAAGACAGACCGCAAAGGATAAACTGAGGAATAGCCCAAGAGGGGGTCTGAAGACTCCTTTGTGTTGGGATGTTTGCAAACTTTCAGATGGGCCTTCTTGTTACCCCAGAAGGGACCTGAACTTTATGTGTTCAGAGGGCTGAGCCACAGACGACTCAGAGAGAGGCAGCTAGCCGGCAGTAGGCTCTGGAGACAAGGACCCGTTGTGACTCAAATCCTAATACAAGGGGGCACCGTGGGAGGTGAGTACACTATTCTACAGGGAAGTTTTCTTTGGGTTGGTTTCTGTTTGAGTCTTTTCTAGTCTTAGTTGCCTGTGTAGCTTGCTTGTAGAGATGGCCAGCATGAGTTTTTGAGTGTTTTGCTATTCATAGAATCATAGAATATAAGGGTTGGAAGGGACCCCAGAAGGTCATCTAGTCCAACCCCCTGCTCGAAGCAGGACCAATTCCCAGTTAAATCATCCCAGCCAGGGCTTTGTCAAGCCTGACCTTAAAAACCTCTAAGGAAGGAGATTCTACCAGCTCCCTAGGTAACGCATTCCAGTGTTTCACCACCCTCTTAGTGAAAAAGTTTTTCCTAATATCCAATCTAAACCTCCCCCACTGCAGCTTGAACCTCCCCCACTGCAGCTTGCAGCTATTTAAGCAAGCAGGTGCGTGTGTGTGTGTGTGAGAGAGAGAGAGAGAGAGAGAGAGAAGAGCACTCACTTCAGAGTTGCGGGGGTTTAGATACTTTTCTATTTCCATGAGATTATAGGAAAATACGCTTCTTCCAGGCTTGTTTAGATTCACAATTGGTTTCTGACACCCTTTCACTGGCTCAGTACTTTCGTGGGTTATCCTAAGGAGCCTCTTAATCTTGTGAATATGGTTTGTTAATGCATGTATGTATGAGAGTTGTAATTCTTTCTTGACAATTATATTTCCTTTGTCTTTATGGCAAGAGATTCTCAGAACTTCTCATGTTAGAGTTTTATCTCTTTCTTTTTATTCAGTCTATTTTCTGAGTCACTCTTTCAGTTTTATTAGCATTCAACAGGAAATAAAATTGTTTAAACATTTTGTAATATAACTAGATAACCATGTGTGTTATTTTTTCAAGAATCCTGACTATAACACACTTGTAGCTCCATATTAATATTCAGTACAGACACAAACAAGTTTATAACAACCTAATAATTTTAAAAGTTAGGTTATAGTTTTTGCATCAATATTAAGGTCTCTCTCTCTCTCACAACTGGATACATGTTCAGAGCAGCATGTAGGAAAGCTCAAAGCATGTGTCTGGAGCTGGGACCTTGAGGCTTCATCTTCACTGCAGCATTATCTTGAGTGATCAGCATCCGGGACTAAGCACCTGGGCTGGCCTTGTCTGAGAGTGACCAGCCACAACTTGCTGTGTCGTCACTTGTGCTGCTCTCACCCATGTGCGTTGCTAGGACGTCTAGGGGTGTATCCATGATTCTTTATGGGGCTGTAACCTGAGCTGCTACTAATTCTTTTCCAGTGAATTGTGGAAGAACTTGCCTGCCCTTCTGGGCACATGGAGGGAATTGTGGGAAGGCACTGGAGGACAATCAAGCACTTGAGTATTTTAACCTGTATCTTCACTGCAAGGTTGGGTGAGTTACCAGACTGAGAACCAGTTAACCAGGATTGAAAACAGTACCAAACTCAAATGAGAGGGTTTTTGTGGGACAAGAGAGGGGTGGGGGCAATGCCCACATATGGGCCCAGGTTAACTCTGCAGTAAAGACATACCTTAAGGCTATCATCACCATGCCTAGCAGCACATCTGCCAGTGTCAAGCAGGAAAAAGAATCATTTAAAAAAAGACCCAGAAGTACATCTTCTGTGGTTTCCTAGATCACCTGGAATTTCTTGTCCTGGCTCCTGGGAAGAAATTGTTCAAAGACAGAAGGGCCAAATTCTGGACCCATTGACATTGATGGGAATTTTGAAAAAGACTTTAATGGGACCAGTGTAGCACCCTTTACTTGCAGCGATTTTCTTATGCTACCTATAATCATTCCTCGTGCTTCCTTTCTATTCCTCAGCCATCTTCTCCTGCAAAAACAATGTCCTCCACCTATCATAGACCATCCCTCATGGACTGCCAGTGTTCTGAATTTGGGGATAGTCTATACGGTTTATTAACTGTCTTCTCACATGGCACTTTGTGTAACAGAAGAGGTGTTAATCCTCATGTCCTAATCAAACTCCAGCTCAGACCTTCTGCCTAAATCTCCCTGCTCTTCTAATTAGCTACTTATTAGATCCATTTTTCACTCCGTCCTAAACTGTTACACAGAATTGCTGTTAAACACTGATAAATGATTGACATATTTCACTCAGAGATGGCTGCATTTAAGTGAACGAAAATATGCCCAGATATAGGTCAGTTTAATATATTTGGAAAGCAGTCTAGACTCTTCAGGATTAAAGGCATGTCACATATAAGGCCAGATCCTCAGTCTTTCTTGTTTGTTGCTATTTTTGTTTGCTGTGTTGTTGTAGCCATTTTGGGCCCAGGATATCAGAGAGACAAGGTGGCTGAGGTAATATCTTTATTGGACCAACTGCTGGTGGTGAGAAAGTCAAGCTTTTGAGCTTACACAGAGCTCTCTTCAGGTCTGGCCTCTTCCACCAATAGAAGTTGGTCCAGTAAAAGACATTACCTCAACCACCTTGTCTCTCTTGTGCTATTTTGGCATTTCTGTTTCCAATCCCAGCCATAACCAGGACATGCAAAGGAGAATAAAATGTAAACTAACTTTTAAATGGCTAACCAAATGTTCTTGAACCGCCAAAGATTTGGTTTGAGTTCTGAGCACAAATCAGGGCAGGTATACATGTTAGCTGAACTATTGTGCTCTTTTTGAAGAGTCAAATCACGATCCCCTTGACATCAATGGCATAACCCACACTGACATTAATGGGACCAAGATTTGTCTGCAGTAAATAAACTTTATTGCATTGATGTATTGCACGGATTCACCTGAAAGAAAGTGAGAGCAGGATTGTGTTGTGCAACACAATGCTAGTAAGAAATGAATACACTCACTGAGGGAAGAAGTTAGAACCCAGAAGTCAATGTATGTTCTTCACAGCTGTATTTTTAAAAGATGAATATTTGTGGAACTAATAAAACAAAGCCAGGCCTGCAAATTTATAATATGGATGGGAGTTTACTTAATTGTTCCACAAAACTTGTAACTAGGCTCTGGCAGAGACAACAGATTCATTGCAAGCAACATTTGTCAAAAGAAAGGAGTCTTTCAAACCAAACGGTGCAAACATAACCACGAAGCAGACATCCAGGCATCCCAAGCTACTGCCTTGCACTCTTCAGGCCCATCTTTTACACAGATGTAAATATGTCCTTTGCAGCAGGGATATTGCTGGAAAAAGCCAATGCTGAACAGGGAGTCATCATTATTCACCTACAACATACAGTAGCCTGGCCACAGTCCACCCATCTCTTCTGGGAATTTCACCTCGTAAGGACTGAAAACACAGCAGTCCTCCAAATTACACCTGGCTACACTTGCCAAAGCTCAATTATTTTTAGAAAGGGCAATGAATAATAAAAGGTACATATTGTGTATGCACCTCACTGTTAAGAAAACAAAACTAAAATAGTTAAGTGCAATTATTCTTGCTGTGCATTTTCAAAACTTTTATAATTTACTTACCTCAAATGCTAGGCTCCAGCCACTTCCACTATCCTAGATTACTGGTGAAAGATGCCATATTTCCCCTTATTCGGTCATGTACCAGAAAAGCCTGTGTCTTGTGAGTTAGAAAAGGAACAGTATGGTGCGAGATTTTGCCGATATGAATGGCTCATGTGCAGGTCAATTATCTATAGTTTAGAACACTATTACTCGTTAAAAATGATGTATCTGTTTTTTCTAGGATTTCATAATAATAACTGGCACAGGGCCCTACCTGGGGATTAATCACGGTCTTCAATCCTCAGACTACATCTCAGGCCACCGTTCCTCTCAGTTGATCAACAAGCCCCAGAGGATTCCCTGTGCACCTCAATCTTTGTTGCTAAAGTAAAAAAGGGCAGCATGTTGCCTGCAGAAATGGTAGGTAAGGGAGAATTGCCACAGCTCAGCCCTCAGAAATGATACCAATGAATAAACACTAGAATATTGTACTTTAGCAGTTCTTATTCTAGAACTGATAGAACCCTTTACATCATCAAAATGCCTTATAAATACCAACTAAGTTTACCGTTCAACACCCCTGTGAAGTAGGTAAATATTGTTAGATACCTGTCTCAACCCACACAAGCACTGTATAGCATGACAGAAAACGGGTTACAAATGTAAATTGTCCAAGTCTTGTCAGAGAAGAGGGGTCATAAACATTCCATTTTCACATTTACATCTTGATTAGGCTTGTAGGTTAAAGTTTTGAAAGTGTCTAAGCCCTGGTCTACACTAGGACTTTAGGTCGAATTTAGCAGCGTTAAATCGATGTAAACCTGCACCCGTCCACACAATGAAGCCCTTTATTTCGACTTAAAGGGCTCTTAAAATCGATTTCCTTACTCCACCCCTGACAAGTGGATTAGCGCTTAAATCGACGTTGCCGGCTCGAATTTGGGGTACTGTGGACACAATTCGATGGTATTGGCCTCCGGGAGCTTTCCCAGAGTGCTCCATTGTGACCGCTCTGGACAGCACTCTCAACTCAGATGCACTGGCCAGGTAGACAGGAAAAGAACCGCGAACTTTTGAATCTCATTTCCTGTTTGGCCAGCGTGGCAAGCTGCAGGTGACCATGCAGAGCTCATCAGCACAGGTGACCATGATGGAGTCCCAGAATCGCAAAAGAGCTCCAGCATGGACCGAACGGGAGGTATGGGATCTGATCGCTGTTTGGGGAGAGGAATCCGTGCTATCAGAACTCCGTTCCAGTTTTCGAAATGCCAAAACCTTTGTCAAAATCTCCCAGGGCATGAAGGACAGAGGCCATAACAGGGACCTGAAGCAGTGCCACGTGAAACTGAAGGAGCTGAGGCAAGCCTACCAGAAAACCAGAGAGGCGAACGGCCGTTCCGGGTCAGAGCCCCAAACATGCCGCTTCTATGATGAGCTGCATGCCATTTTAGGGGGTTCAGCCGCCACTACCCCAGCCGTGTTGTTTGACTCCTTCAATGGAGATGGAGGCAATACGGAAGCAGGTTTTGGGGACGAAGATGATGATGATGATGATGATGAGGTTGTAGATAGCTCACAGCAAGCAAGTGGAGAAACCGGTTTTCCCGACAGCCAGGAACTGTTTCTCACCCTGGACCTGGAGCCAGTACCCCCCGAACCCACCCAAGGCTGCCTCCTGGACCCAGCAGGCGGAGAAGGGACCTCTGGTGAGTGTACCTTTTAAAATACTATGCATGGTTTAAAAGCAAGCATGTGAAAGGATTACTTTGCCCTGGCATTCGCGGTTCTCCTAGATGTAGTCCTAAAGCCTTTGCAAAAGGTTTCTGGGGAGGGCAGCCTTATTGCGTCCTTCATGGTAGGACACTTTACCACTCCAGGCCAGTAACACGTACTCGGGAATCATTGTAGAACAAAGCATTGCAGTGTATGTTTGCTGGCATTCAAACAACATCCGTTCTTTATCTCTCTGTGTTATCCTCAGGAGAGTGAGATATAATTCATGGTCACCTGGTTGAAATAGAGTGCTTTTCTTCAGGGGACACTCAGAGGAGCCCATTCCTGCTGGGCTGTTTGCCTGTGGCTAAACAAATATGTTCCCTGCTGTTAGCCACAGGGAGGGGGGAAGGTTGAGGGGGTAGTCACGCGGTGGGGGGAGGCAAAATGCGACCTTGTAACGAAAGCACATATGCTATGTATGTAATGTTAACAGCAAGGTTTACCCTGAAAGAGCGTAGCCACTGTTTTATAAAATGTGTCTTTTTAAATACCGCTGTCCCTTTTTTTTTCTCCACCAGCTGCATGTGTTTCAAGGATCACAGGATCTTCTCCTTCCCAGAGGCTAGTGAAGCTTAGAAAGAAAAAAAAAACGCACTCGCGATGAAATGTTCTCCGAGCTCATGCTGTCCTCCCACACTGACAGAGCACAGATGAATGCGTGGAGGCAAATAATGTCAGAGTGCAGGAAAGCACAAAATGACCGGGAGGAGAGGTGGCGGGCTGAAGAGAGTAAGTGGTGGGCTGAAGACAGGGCTGAAGCTCAAATGTGGTGGTAGCGTGATGAGAGGAGGCAGGATTCAATGCTGAGGTTGCTGCAGGACCAAACCAGTATGCTCCAGTGTATGGTTGAGCTGCAGCAAAGGCAGCTGGAGCACAGACTGCCACTGCAGCCCCTCTGTAACCAACCGCCCTCCTCCCCAAGTTCCATAGCCTCCACACCCAGACGCCCAAGAACGCGGTGCAGGGGCCTCCGGCCAACCAGCCACTCCACCACAGAGGATTGCCCCCAAAAAAGAAGGCTGTCATTCAATAAATTTTAAAGTTGTAAACTTTTAAAGTGCTGTGTGGCATTTTCCTTCCCTCCTCCACCACCCCTCCTGGGCTACCTTGGTAGTCATCCCCCTATTTGTGTGATGAATGAATAAAGAATGCATGAATGTGAAGCAACAATGACTTTATTGCCTCTGCAAGCGGTGATTGAAGGGAGGAGGGGCGGGTGGTTAGCTTACAGGGAAGTAGAGTGAACCAAGGGGCGGGGGGGTTTCATCAAGGAGAAACAAACAGAACTTTCACACCGTAGCCTGGCCAGTCAGGAAACTGGTTTTCAAAGCTTCTCTGATGCGTACCGCGCCCTCCTGTGTTCTTCTAACCGCCCTGGTGTCTGGCTGCGCGTAACCAGCAGCCAGGCGATTTGCCTCAACCTCCCACCCCGCCATAAACGTCTCCCCCTTACTCTCACAGATATTGTGGAGCACACAGCAAGCAGTAATAACAGTGGGAATATTGGTTTCACTGAGGTCTAAGCGAGTCAGTAAACTGCGCCAGCGCGCCTTTAAACGTCCAAATGCACATTCTACCACTATTCTGCACTTGCTCAGCCTGTAGTTGAACAGCTCCTGACTACTGTCCAGGCTGCCTGTGTACGGCTTCATGAGCCATGGCATTAAGGGGTAGGCTGGGTCCCCAAGGATACATATAGGCATTTCAACATCCCCAACAGTTATTTTCTGGTCTGGGAATAAAGTCCCCTCCTGCAGCTTTTGAAACAGACCAGAGTTCCTGAAGATGCGAGCATCATGCACCTTTCCCGGCCATCCCACGTTGATGTTGGTGAAACGTCCCTTGTTATCCACCAGAGCTTGCAGCACTATCGAAAAGTACCCCTTGCGGTTTATGTACTCGCCAGCTTGGTGCTCCGGTGCCAAGATAGGGATATAGGTTCAGTCTATGGCCCCACCACAGTTAGGGAATCCCATTGCAGCAAAGCCATCCACTATGACCTGCACATTTCCCAGGGTCACTACCCTTGATATCAGCAGATCTTTGATTGCGTGGGCTACTTGCATCACAGCAGCCCCCACAGTAGATTTGCCCACTCCAAATTGATTCCCAACTGACCGGTAGCTGTCTGGCGTTGCAAGCTTCCACAGGGCTATCGCCACTCGCTTCTCAACTGTGAGGGCTGCTCTCATCTTGGTATTCATGCGCCTCAGGGCAGGGGAAAGCAAGTCACAAAGTTCCATGAAAGTGCCCTTACGCATGCGAAAGTTTCGCAGCCACTGGGAATCGTCCCAGACCTGCAACACTATGCGGTCCCACCAGTCTGTGCTTGTTTCCCGAGCCCAGAATCGGCGTTCCACAGCATGAACCTGCCCCATTAGCACCATGATGCATGCATTGGCAGGGCCCATGCTTTCAGAGAAATCTGTGTCCATGTCCTGATCACTCACGTGACCGCGCTGACGTCGCCTCCTCGCCCGGTATCGCTTTGCCAGGTTCCGGTGCTGCATATACTGCTGGATAATGCGTGTGATGTTTAATGTGCTCCTAATTGCCAAAGTGAGCTGAGCGGCCTCCATGCTTGCCTTGGTATGGCGTCCGCACAGAAAAAAGGCGCGAAACGATTGTCTGCCCTTGCTTTCACGGAGGGAGGGAGGGAACGGGGGCCTGATGATATGTACTCAGAACCACCCGCGACAATGTTTTAGCCCCATCAGGCATTGGGATCTCAACCCAGAATTCCAATGGGCAGCGGAGACTGCGGGAACTGTGGGATAGCTACCCACAGTGCAACGCTCCGGAAGTCAACTCTAGCCTCGGTACTGTGGAAGCGCTCCGCCGAGTTAATGCACTTAATGCACTTAGAGCATTTTCTGTGGGGACACACACACTTGAATATATAAAACCGATTTCTAAAAAACCGACTTCTATAAATTCGACCTTATTCCGTAGTGTAGACATACCCTAAATGAGCCAGGAGCAAAAATCAATGGGAGTTAGCACATAGGTATGTCTGAAAAATCCCACTAGGCACCTATCTGCTTTTTTAGGTGCCTAAATACCATTGAAAATCTAGCTCTATTAAGTCACTTTTGAAAATGGGCCATAAGCTCCTAAATCATTTAGGTGCTTTTGAAAATTTTATCCATAATAACTCTCTACTAGCCACTTCGTTCAAGGAAATGACTTTTGTACCTTGCTTCCCATTTATTCTTATGCAGTAAAGACCTACTCTTTTCATTGACCAAGGTCATTGAATGAAAACTGGTTGCACTGAACCCTGAAGTGTAAACCTCTTCTTCTCTCAGCCCTGCTGGCAGCTGCTGCTCCAGGGTTTCACTTACAGATCTTGCTAACATGTTGGAAGTAGATGCCAGCCAATCCCATCACAAAAGGCACTGTAAGATGTTCATTCCTCAGGCAGGATGTAATAGTTCTGTACTGCTAAAAGCTGTCATGGTCCCCAGCCCTTCCAAATCCAGAACATTACTTTTTAAGAGGCCTCAGTTCCCAAGCATTTGAAAAAGACTTAATAAATATTACTTTATAAGTACTGGCAAAAAAGTTTCTCCTCAACTGCAACCCAAAATCAATTTGCATAACATTGAAACAATTACAGTAAATAATTTAACCATAAATACATGTTCCATTAACTCAGCCATTTAGATGTGACTGTTTTAGCTCAGTAAATTGCTCTCCATCATTCCAGTTAGTCAAGCCAGTGACATAATTTTGTGAATTAAAAGGTTTTCAATTACAGCTTATTAGGTAGGCAAGTGCAATCACAGAGCAGCTGCCATCATGAAAAATGAAGTACAAAGACTGACCACCTGTTTGAGACTAGTACAAATCAAACAAACCACACATTTGAAATGTAGATGCCATCATATCAGGGCATGAAACGTCCACTCGTGGTTCCTGCCTCCTGCCACCCTGGTGGATGTTTAGGGATCTTGTTCCCAGGAGGTTGAACTGAAGAGGAGCACTTCCCTGGACTGTTTCTCAGCATACTGTTTCCATTCTACAATCTAGGCCCCACTAGAAGAATGACCCATTGTTGACAGTGGGTGCTGAGCGTGGTTTAGCTGCAAGTGCAGACAATGAGAAAGTGTGGCCAGTATCATTTTAACTTCAGGGTTTTAGAAAATAGATCACACCAGTTTTCTAGTGTAGGTCAGAGCTGAGCACTGGAGTGGGGAGTATATGCAGTGCAATAGGAAATGCCATGCCAGCCAGCTCCTCCTCTACATGGAGGGGAACGCAAGGTTCCATTGGTTCCCTCTCCCCCATGTCCTTCAGCAATGCAAAGGGGACATGTAAAAGTAAGAGAGAGTAGAGAGGTAAGAGAGAAACTGATGACAGGGCAGCTTCCTAAATTATGAGATAACTACAAGCCAAGGTTGGAACAAAAGATATCCCTTCTTCCTGTCCAAGGAGCATCCCAGACGCGTGCACAGAGCGGAGGGATGCATGCTGAGCTTCTTGCCAGGCCTCTAGCCATGGAACCCAAAGGGTAATGTGTCATCCCACATCAGACTCACCAGCGGAATTTTGCTTATTTGGTGCTGTTTTCTACCCCTGTCAGAACTCAGTAACCGTTAGCTGAACTTTTTTGTCATTTTTCTATGTGGTGTTTTAACAAATGGAAACAGTATATAGAGGGACAAATTCAATGCTGACATAAAGGATGGGGTGGGTTACACAGCAGGAAATTAGTATAAGAAATACCATAGGTTTTGCCTCTTGTCCAAGAAATGAAAAGAAAAAAAAGTCAGTTCCCAAGACCTAGCAATTCCACCCCAATCACCCCCTCAGGCAAATCCTTAATAGAATGGATGAGTCCAGCACTCTGCCTGTAGGTCAACGGACTCACATGCTGATGGACAAACTGGGGGCAGTGAATTCCAGAGCTGAGGGCCCTTCATGGATAACACCTTCATGTGCTCTGATTCCTTAACATACTTTGGGAAGTCACGTGAGTACTCCCACTGGAGTCGGTTGGACTTCTTGAGTAACTGCTCAACAAGGAGAGTAAGGAATTCACAAACCAGCCTTGTGTGTTTGTAGAGCCCCTCCTGCAATTTGGGCTGGCTGGAGATTCTACGTGCGAGACAAATAAAAACAACAACAGAAATGAAGATGCATATTTTCTGTTTAACCTGTTTTGATAAGGAGAGATGGCTTTTGTTCTCCAAAAAGAGAGGGACCCAATCTTTCTTCACAGTGGCTACCACAGATATATAAATGAAACTTTAAATCCTGTACTGACTTGGAATCAGCTTTAGTACCTCATCAGACTTCAGCTTTCAAACAGAAAAGGTACAGCCAGCTGGGCAAATGGTCATTTGCAAGCAGCAGGTTCTGTCTGTTATTCATAACGGTCTCATAAACATATCTATTATATAAGCCCCTAGTAGACTATGCATTAATAAGCATAGTATGGACTGCTTATCAGGCTACTGAGGCTGTGATAATACAGGGAAGTCACAGAAGTACACTACTGGAGACAATAAAAGTCACTCACTGCTGACTGTGACCTTTATTAGGTATAATGTACTGTCCAGTTCTCAAAATGTTGCAGGAGCTACTGTGTATTTATTACTGAAACACAGTTAAACTTGCATCCCAACTCTTAATTAGAAGTAAATATTAATGTCTTGAATGTTTAGGTACTTGTTTGGACATATTCACATGCAAATTTAAACTGATTAATAATTTCTGAAGATGAATTGCAATCTCAAACAATTTAATGGAAAGCAAATGG